ACGAATCTTTAAGATTGTTATATCTTCTTGGTGTATTTTTCCTTTAATGAGTAGGAAGTGTCCCTCCTTATCTCTTTTGACTGGTTTTAATTTGAAGTCTATTTTGTCAGACATTTGAATAGCCACACTTGCTTGTTTCTTGGTACCAGTTACTCAGAATACCCCTTTCCACCCTTTTTTCCTAAGGTAGTGTCTATCATCAAGGTGAGGCGTTTTTTTTTTGGAGGCAGCAAAAAGATGGGTCCTGTCTTCTAATTTGATTTGTTAGCCTGTGTCTCTGGGGGAATTGAGACAGTTAATACTGAGAATTATTATTAAACAATATGTGTTAATTCCTGTCATTTTGTGGTGGTACTATTGTTTTCTTTGATTTCTTTTGATTAACTGTTCTGGAATTGTTTATTCCCTGTCCTTCTTTGAGTGTGTTTAACTTTCTCTTCAGAACAAAGTACTCCTGTTAGCATCCTCTCTAAATCTGGCTTAGTGGTCATGAATTCCTTAAATCTGTTTTTATCATGAAAGCTTTTTTCTGTCTCCTTTCATTACAATTGATAGTTTTGCTACCAGTTTTTCTGTGTTTAAGAGCCTGGGCTGGCATCTGTGGTCTTTAAGAACTTGTAGCACATTAGTCCATGCTATCTTGGCTTTCAAATTCTCCATTGTAAAATCCGATGTTATTCAGATGGCTCTGACTTTATGTGTGATTTTGTCTTTCTCTCTTGTAGCTTTCAATATCCTTTCTTTGTTGTGTACATTTAGTGTTTAGATTATGTGACCTGGGGAGTTTCTTTTCTGGTCTATTTGGTGTTCTGTATACTTCTTACAGCTTGCTAGGAATCTCTTTCCTTTGATTTAGGGAATTTTTTTCTATAATTTTGTTGAAAATATTTTCTGTACCTTTGACTGGGTTTTCACTTCTATATGCATTATTTGTAGGTTTGGCCTTTTCATAGGCTCCCAATGCGTTTGACTACCTGGTCCCCAGCTGGTAGCTCTGTTCTGAGAGATCGTGAATTCTTTTATTGCTTTAGACATGGGGCCTAGCTGGCTGAGCGAGGCTGTCAAGTAGGACCTGAGGGTTATAGGCTGGGTCTCTCTTGCAAGAGCTCTCTGCTTCCAGGTTCTCTGAAATGGAAGGAGCTGAGCTGTGAGCTCCACTGCCACCTCCTGAGGCATGAGATGCCTGCTCGGCCGTGATAGACTGTATTTTCTGAATCCCTTCTCCCATAACTTGCTTCTATCAGGTGTTTTGTCATAATTATGAGAAAAGTAACTAACACAAACCTCAAACCGGACGGATTATAAAAGAGAATATTATTTATCAGTATTATCAATAAGAGAAGTTACATTCCTGCATATGCTACAGACGTTATATGGGTATATGATAAAGAGCTTTATGGTAAAAAATTCAACAGCTTGGAAGGAAAAAAATCCTTGAAAACAAAAGCTACAGGGACATTGTAATTTAAGAAGAAACTTATTGGATATCTACTCCCAGTTCCTAAGAAGAGTTTCTAAAATCATTGTTAAATAGGGGTTCTGAGACAATGTTTTGCTTGTTTGGTCTTTGACCCAACCAAGTTCCTGACAAAGCCACTAGGATTTTGAATTAATTTATTTTAATTGATGTTTTGATTCTTTGATAATTTCATGCATTATTATAATGCATTATAATTATACACCCCCACCCCCAATTCTCCCTCCAACTCTCCCTGGAGCCCTCCTAAAATGTGCCCTCCCAATTCGTTTTTTTTTTTTTTTTTTTAATATATCCAACTTCATCCACTAGTGCTCCTCCGTTTGGGTATGGGGCCATCCCCTGGAGCATGGGCAGCCTAGCAATGTTCACAACTCCAAGGAGAAATGACTATCCCTCTCTGAGACACCATCAACTACCAATAGCTCTTCAGATAGAGATGGGGCCTTGTAAATCCCTTCCCCATCCACACTAGAATTTTGATTGGCTTGATCATGTACAGGTCTTATGGATGTAATCATATGTGCTGTGGATTCATGAGAGCAATGGCCATGTCCCAAAGACAGCATTTCACTGCACTTCTCTCCATTGTCTGACTTTTACATTCTTTATGCCCCTCTTTGAGAATACTCCCTGATCTTTGGTGGGGTATGTGGTGGTTGATATAGATGTTCCACTTTGGGCTGAGCACTCAGTCACTTATTCTTAGTACTTTGAACAGTTGTGAGTCTACACCGACTATAAAGGAATCTTCTTTGACCAAGGTTGAGAGCCTCCCAGATGGGTATAAACGTATTTAGATGGAAATTTGACAACATGACTGTTTAGCAAAATAACAATGGTAGGTTACTGCCTAAGATCTACGACTTCCTTTAATTTCTTATAAAGAATGCGGTTTTCGGGATTTCAAATATGCCTTACAGGTCCTCAGAAACTAGCAACTATTTTGTTGGCAATAGGTGGGGTAGAATGTATATAACCAGGTTTCAGATGCTTCTGAAATACCCAGCTGTCTTAGTTTGTTCTTCATTGCTGTGACAAAACACTCTGACCACTACCAACTTAGGGAGGAAAGGGTTTGTCTTACATCTCCCAGGTCGCAGTTCATCAGGGAGCCCAAGGTAGGAACTCAGGGCAGGAACCTGGAGGCAGGAGCTGGAGCACAGGCCATGGTGGAATGCTGCTTACTGGCTTGCTCCCCTGGCCCCTGCTCAGCCTGCTTTCTTAGGCAACACAGGCCTACCTGCCCAGGGGTAGCACCACCCACAGTGGGCTGGGCCCTCCCACATCACTCATCAAGAATATGCCCCTCAGACATGGTCACAGGCCAGTCCAATAGAGGCAATTCCCCAATTGAGGGTCCCTCAACCCAGGTGTGTCAAGTTCACACTAAAGCTATCCAGCACACCAACTGAGACCTATCACACTTTAATCAAAGGCAGATGCCCTGAAACAGAGGCTTAAGACTCTTACTGTCTAGGTACCTGCTCAGGGACCAGTTCCAGACATTCTTCAGAAAACACTGCAAGAGTCGATCAGAGGCTGAGACCTTTCTCAAAGCCCAGCTGAGCTGCTCTGTCTTTTTCAGTCTTTCTAATGTAACATTACTTTGACCTTTCAACCATGCTCCCCACTGCTCCCTAATAGCCTCCACTCAGGCCTGTCACCACTGCTGAAATTTTGCTCCTCAAGGACCAGCAGAAAGACTCAAGCTTCAGAACAAAGAAAATAAAAATTCAAGACTTTTTAAATACATTGGTGCAAACATTAAGTAGATGGTTATAGTAAAACAGTGAAATCTCAGCTATAGGCTTCAGATACTTTCTGATGACAGTCTTTCGGTTGGTGGAAGCTAGTAGGGTTTTGTTAAGTTCATACATTCCAAAAGGTTTTTATTCTATTAGTCAGAGGACATTTATCCTTACAGGAGGTTCAGTTTGAAGATATAGTTTCTTTCTGAGAACTTTTGTTCACTGTACCATCTGTCCATGTACCACATGGACATACCCATGTATGCCCCACGTAATACAGATTGATAAATGATATATTCCTCAGAGTAGAAAAGGTGTCAACTTATAAATTTATTGGAATGAATTGAGACTGCAGAGGTATATGGACATGTTAAAGTCATATCAGGGAAACCAGACCTCAGAACTTGTCAGGCCAGACCACGCAGGGACGGTGTAAATTTCTCATCTGAACCCAATAAAGAAGTGAATACCTAGTACTGCAAAAGCGATGACCCTCACCGACCTGCCATCTGAGCACCGTGTGTGTGTGTGTGTGTGTGTGTGTGTGTGTGTGTGTGTGTGTGGTGTGTACACATAAGGACTGACAGGCAGAAAACTCCTGAATGTCCCTGGGGCTTTAGTTTCCCTCAGGGAACTGCTGAGGTCCCCACTGTTTACATGGCCGACTCGACCTCTCTCCACCTGTCCACTCTTCCTCTTGTTTGCTAATCTGGATCTTTTGTCCCTCTTTTCATCTGGATGGTCTGCTTTTCACCTCTGCATACTGACTCACTTCACTTTCAAACCAACACACTCTCAGCCACTTTTCTAGCCTCCACCTTTAAATTTAGTTGGGCTCCTTATCTTTCCGTATGTTATCGATAAGGACTCTATTTACATTTCAAAAATTTACATTTACTGCAAAACCTGTTGAATTCTATTGTGGCTTCTTTAGCCCTTCACAGTCATTCTATAACCTACACATGTATTTACTCTGGTTAAAATTAATAATTAAGATTGGAATAAAAGAAATTTTGTTCACCTCAGCCAGGGTTACTAACGGAAACAGGAACATCAGGCAAATAGCTGCCGTAGAAACCCCCGTTTCTTGTGAATTTATTGTTCTGTGAATTCTGACACTGTGGGAAGACATACATATATCTATCTGTTTTTGACACTGCCATGCTCAAGAGAAAAGTTTATCAATGCAGTTCAGCTGGTGAATGGCCAGAGCTGGATTCAAACTCATATCTCCCTAGTTCTCAAGTTCACAATCCTTTTGCTTCCCACTGTCCAAGATTCCAGAGTGAGGCAACTATGGTTATCATGAGTATGTGTTTTACACAGAGACAGTTCCCAGCTGCTGTTTGGGAGCTACCACATGACTGCATGACCTCATGCCTGAGGAGTTGGTTTTTCTTCCAGTTGACAAGGTTTTTGTAGAAATGTCCCCAAGCTCTTAGAGAAAGAGGAGACCCAAGTTACAAGAGAAAGAGCTGCCAGAGATTACCACCTTTTCTGGAGAAATGATTCCTGATGCCCTTCATCTTGGCCAGCCCCCACCCTCACGTTTGCCTCTCACAAACACTCCAGGAAAAGAGGCAAGTGCTTACTTTTCCACCCGTGGCTTCCTGCATTGCAGCACAATGCTTAGGTGGCCCCTTGAGCTACTTCTGATAATGTGAATTTAGTTTTTCTGCCACAAGTGGATGAGGGGTAAGGAGCTTGGTCTTCCGGGGTATTTTGGAGACTGCACCTGGACTTTGCTCTGTTCCTGCAGTTCAGAAGGGCCACCAGGGCTTAGCGAAGCACAGAGCAGCAGTGGAGCCAATGTCGCACAAAGGTCACCGTCGCTCACCAGTCATGCCTGTGCAACTCTCCGCAGTGGCTTTGCTCCTCCTGTCCCTGACTGGTGAGTAACATACCCCACTTTCTGTGGTGGCTATGCTGTATCTGGTCCTTTTAATTCTAATTATCTAAATGCACACTGGTGCCCGGGACTGAAGGTGAGGCAGGATGGGAGCTATAGATATGGCTTCTGTTTCTGCAGATATTTGATGTGAAAACATTTCCAACCTGTTGTACATCTGAGGCCCACCTTCCATTATTCCAAGGGCTCTTAAGGTTTGGGCTGAATTTCCATGAGTTAAAAAAAAAAAAGAATGGTTATTAACCTTGGAAGACATTGTCTCTGGCACATTAGTCTGGACACCATATCAGGGTGAGTTTATAGAAATCACTTCAATTTAGGAGAACTGAGCTAGGGCTCAGAAATTGGGGCGTGCTATCTAGTCATATCCCACTTCCAGTTTTTCTTAAATGCAAGTGGTAAGTTTATATCAGCAGCAAACTGTGAAGATGCATCAGATATGATCTGATCAGTTACACCATTTCACAAAGGTGTAAATCGGGCATCAACTGTTTTTTGAAAAAATACTGCCGTTGCACATTAATTCAGAGAGGTTGTCAAGGTTGTCTGAGCTTAGCATGATTACTGGCTGTTCCAGACCCCTACACTTGCTTGAGTGTTTTATGCCCAAGATGTTGAATCCTATCAGACTGTTGTTCTGTTCTGGTTAGCAAGTACACCAGCTAATTTCCAGTTCCTTCCAGAACCACTGAATTGAGCTTGCAAGACCACAGACTCTATGTTTATGCCACGCTGACCTGCTCAAGTAGAGGACAGTCAAGCACTTTTGATTGTTACATGGATTCTGTGAAAGTTATGGAAGCTGTGAGAAGGGTCATGACAACTACCTTAATCCAAATAGCTTTTGTTTGTGTCATGATTTCAGAGTTACAATTTCATGTTCTTGGAGGTTCAGAAAAGAAATCACCTGAGGTGGGGATGTAGATCAATGGTAGAGTGTTTGCTCAGCACATAAATGGCTCTGGATCCAATCCCTGTCACCAAGGGGGGAAAAATTATCATCATAAGCTAAGAAAAAAACAAAAAATTCTGTCTATCCCCATGCTTTCTCCCTGCTAGGAGGGGAAGTAGGATGAAAGGTTCTTTATTCCAGGAAACAAGCTCAGCTTATAGCCAAGGTTTTGTTGGTAAGGAGGCCTGATTTTGGAGGAATCAGCTTGCGGTCGCTGGAGTAGCTCCTATTCGAGCAGAGCCTTTGACTCTTTGCTGTACCCTGTGGAAACTGCCTGCAGACCCAACACAGTGAGTTCCAGGCCATTTGGGTCTACTGGAAGACCCTGATTCAAAAAGACAAAAAAAAAAAAAAAAAGGTCATAGTTTAGTTAACTAAGTAAGGCCAAGACAGAGTCTGAGTTTCTGAGTTACAGGCTCCTTTGCTTCTATACCAGCCATTTTTTGTAGGTTTTTCCACACGAGACCAGTGAGCTTGACCTTAGTTAAATCTCTAGGGGTCAATGCCCCATTGAAAAGTGGACTTAATTTTGACAAAGACTGAATAGAAGTATGGACTATATAACACAGTTCTATGTCCCAGATTCATTGAGTACTTCGTATACATGTGAATTTTCTGGGGGCATTTACAATGCACAGCACACCTACCTACTATCAAACCACATGCACATTGTTTATACTCCACATTCCTAGAAGAAGAAAGGGAAAAGAAGAGAGGATCAGAGAGAAGTATTGAACTATGAGAGGTAGTATTGAACTGTGTTTCTTTGAATGGTTCAATCTGTAACACCTGCAAGCTTGGCATGTTTGGTCTAGAGCCATCAGCCTGCCTAGCCTTGTGTTAGTAACTCTGTTCATCATTGTGTTAGTAACTTTCTGTCACTAAAAAAGATATCTGAGGAAATGTTTATTTATTTAGGTTCATGATTGCAGGGGGTTCAGACCATGATTGATTAGCCCTTTTGCTTTCAGCCTGTAATGGGGCAGTGCGTGGTGGTAGAGCAAAACCATGCTCTTCATGACTGGAAAATGGAAGGAAGGGAGGGAGGGAGGGAGGGAGGGAGAGATGGGGATTCCACAATGCTCCACACACTCTCAATGTCCTGAGGACCTCCCACTACACTCCATCTCCCAAAGTTTCTAATAGTGTCAAGCTGGGTTCGAAGCTTCTGGAGGACAGATCCAAACCATAGCAACTACTCATTCTTTGTCCAAAGGACACATTTGTACACCAAATCAAGGATGTGACTGTCACCCTCCAGTCTGACCATCCAGTATTCCTCATATTCAGCACACTTTGGCAAGATACAATGAAGTCTTCCTGGCCTATTTGGGATGCTTTTCCTTTGTAAAGGACAAAATACTTTTTATACTTTATTTGAGTTCATTTATAATTACTGAAAGAGGAGTTCTAACCTTAAGGAAGCCTCCACTCTTCAAAGAGCATGCTACTCAGTTTAGGAAATTCTACTCGGTTGAGATTTGCTTTAGTTTATAAGCACCAACAATCTCGGTGAGGCTGTAGAAGGACGTAGGGATCACCCTCCCCAGCCAGTGATTTCTAGTCCCCTGGGATTTTCTGTAACAAACGTTTGCTTTTCATCTCAAGACGTTCTTAAAAACTGCATCGGGGGGTGAATTTTATTTTTCTTTTTAATTTTATTTTATGTGTATGAGTGTATTGCCTGCATGTGTGTAAGTGCACCCATATCGTGCGATGCCGCAGAGGTCAGAAGACAGTGTCAGATCCCCTGGAACTGGAGTTACAGTCAGTTCTTTGCCACCTTGTGGGTGCTGGGAATTGAACCTGGGTTCTCTGGCAAGAGCAGTCAGTGCTCTTAACCACTGAGCCATCTTTCTAGCTCCAAATTTTCTTTTTCTATATGAGCAGTATAAACTTACTACATTTCTTACTGAGTTCTTGACCAAGGTACTGGAAACTCTGGCTTAGCTCATTTGAATTAAGGAGGTAAATCTTCAACAACAACCAAGTGCTGTTACCGTCTTGAAGTGGAAAGTCTTTGTGTGCGTGCGTGCGTGGATGTGTGTGCGTGTGTGTGTGTGTGTGTGTGTGTGTGTGTGCGTGCGCCAGAGGGCACCCTTGGGTGTTGTTCTTCAGGTACCATACTTTTAATTTTTGTTTTTTGTTTTGATTTGTTTTTGAAATAGGGTTTCACTGTGTTTTGCAGACTGACCTTGAGCTCACAGAGATCTGTCTGTTGCTGCTTCTGTAGTACTGGGATTAAAGGTGTGCATTTCCATACCCTGTCACTTTTAAATTTTTGAGACAAGGTCTTTCGTGATGGCTTGGAACTTGTGGCACATGCTAAGCTGGGTAGGCAGTGAGCCCTGGGGAGGGGATCTGTCTTTCTCTCCATTTCCAGTTCTGGGATTACAAGTGCATGAGAGGGTGCCCCACTTTATTTGCAGGGTCCTAGGGATAAAACTCAGGTCCTCATGTAGAGTTATCTCCCCAGCCTTGAAGTAACCTTACAGCTCTTAAGAATCTGTAACATTTGAATTCATGTATTTAACTTATCCAAATGAATATTTTAAATATGAAAAATTCTTTAAGTATGATCTCGTACAACTTAATATCATGGATAAAGAGTGTTTTAAGAAGGGATTCAACACAATTTAATGCTATTCCAGTTCCCATTTTGTGAGGTAATTATGCAGAAATAGTGTCCAGGTCTTAGTACTGTGCTGGTCTGACTAGCATGATGAGGGTTCGGGCAATTGTGATCACTGGAGCCCACCCGTTGGTCCCTTGTCCTTCTTTTATTTCTTCTCTCACCATTCTGTCTGTGACATCTTCACCATTTCATTAATCCAAAGACAGGCTTTGATTCAGGCTTATAGAAATTCAAATCTCAGTTCCAACATCGACTCTTTGTATAATTGTTGTCAAATTGTTGGGATTTTCTAGAAGCAGTTTTCTCATTTGATATGTGAGTATAGACAATTACCACCAGCAAGCTTTTAAGAATTGGTAAGACAACAATACAGAGATGCTCCACCTCCCCACCCCAAACAATAAAAAAAAAATCTTTGTTTTCAAGCTTCCAGGTAGTAAGTACCCGGTAGCTTATGGATTTTAGGGGCAGGGAATGTAGCTCAGGGATACCATACTTGCCTACCATGTACAAAGCCCTGAGTTTGATCCTCAGCACCATGCAAGTCAAGGGTATTATTATTATTATATTATTATTATTATTGACATGTACAGGAAAATTAACCACTTAAAAATATATTGAATGGAACAGAAGATAGAAAGGTGTTTATGGACTATCTTGATTGGATATCAGCCTGAGGACCTTGTAAACACCAGGGTAAAAGTATGTCCTTTGTCTCTCTGCATATTTTCCCACATCTCAGTCCAGCTCCTAGCAACTACAGTGCCCATTAATGTCTGAGTAAATACAATGAAACCATGGAACCTTTTTTAAAATTGGAATTTATTGTTGTCATTTTTTAAATTTAAGAGAAATTTTATTGATTCAAGAATTTCATACCATAAATTTTTATTATATTCAGACTTCCCCCATCTCCAGCCTCACCCTACCCACCCCCAAATTTGTGTATTCTATTTGCAAATGAAAAACCATATCCATCTTATATAACACATCTGAGCTAGGTGCCAGAGAAAGCTTATATCATTAGAGTGTTAGTGATCTGTACTTCTTACACAAGGAAGGGCCCACCCCCTTTCCTTTGTACATAGTTTTGGGTCAGAATATACCCACATTTCTTAAAACAGAGTTTTTACTCTTACTTTCTGTTTCTCTTTCACAAACAGGTCAAGTAGGGCTTTGTCTTTTTCTCAGCAGTTGGGCATCCTTGGTCTTTTCATCAACAAAGATATTTGTTTGCAGCGTTTGCATGCAGGTTACACTTTGGCTGTTTCTGGTCTTCACTCAGCACCATGACCCCACTGTACACCAAGGCATTCTCCAATATGCTGATTCTCCTCAGGGTTTTACTGTGGGTAAAAGAAGAATCTAGGTCCTCACAGCAGGCAGCAGTTAGCTCACAGGCTTCCAATCCAAGATTCCCTGAATGACAGCTGGGAGGATGAAACCACGGAAGTTTGAAGGGACAGACTTGTCTTCCAGCATGCCTAGGCATAGATTGTCAAGGGCCAGCATAAGCATTTTGTCTTTTTCTGGGTTAACATCTGCCTAGAATGATGCACAATAGAACCACACTAAATGAAAAGAGTGAGAGGTCTTGAACCCTTAAAGACATCTCTGGAGAGAAGTTGTGACAAGAGCAGACACTGCAGCTTGAAGGTTTGCACTGAAACCAACTTATCCAAGTTATCCGAGGCCATCATCCTCCTTTACCCACTCAGTTATTTACTCTTCCAACTCATTTGCTAAACACCCTATGCACAGGCACTGGTGGTGAAAACTACGCACATAATTCTTAATTTTGGGATTTTAATCTAGTGAATAAGATGCATAGCCAACAAACGAACCACTAAATAAACCCTTCTTCAAGGGTGAAATTCTAAGCATACCTACTGGCCAGCTCGATTATGAAATATTTTAACACCATCCTCATATATGAGTATAAGACCTGATAGGGGCAGCTGAGGCAACACATATAACACTGAGATGGAGAGTCATGGTGATGGGGACCTGTTTCATATAAGAAGGACAAGGGAGGTCTCTAAGGAGCTGTTAGAAGGACATGAAGGAACAGAGCAATTATGCCTGAAATTTTTTCTTGTTTGAGAAAGATTGGGTTGCTCAAAAGATTAAGCAAATAATAGAAGTTGATCTATATTTAGAAAAATAATAGGTAGAAGGGACTATTTTGTGAGAAAGAGTCTCCTCATTGGAAGCAATTAAGCATAGGTTGCATAAATACATATCAATTAGGCACAATTCATGTATCAGATAAGGGTTTAGACTAAATGACCTGCAGGACTCTATCACAGCAGCTGTTTACTTACAAGCATTATTTTGCCATCTTTCTGGTTTCACAGCTAAACATGGTCATTTTGATATGTATTAGTATCACATCCTATTCAGAAAAAGGGTCTTTATGTAGAATGTCTGCTGTATACTATAAATGTATCAAACCCATAGATGCAAACCAAGACATTCCAGTTATTGTCTGGTACTGGTTTTTTTTTGGGGGGGTGATCTCCACTTCCTTATCAGAGCTCTGGCAAATTTCCAGCAAATATAAAAATATGTGTGCTTTTAAGCATTTGGTTAGTGTTGTAACACTTTTGTTTTCCTGATTTGCAGAAATTTTACATGGCCATCAAATAAGAAAAAAAACATTTCCAAAAATCAGAGACTATCTTCAGTCCACTATAACAGCAGCAAGAGACGTCATAGTAAAACCAGTTCCACAGCCAACTAACCAAATACCTCATGAAACAGCAGCAGCAAGATCAAGGAATGCTCACATCACCTCACAAAAAGCCACTGAAATCTCCAATTCTGAGAACCCACCTCACACAACAATAAAAATAACAAATATCCCAGTAACCTCAAAAAGGCTTCTATCCAGCAGCACAACTATCTACTCCCTGGTCACACCTAACAACTCACACACAACTGTTCCAATTACTGAAGTTACCATTGGTCGTGATTCAATTCCACATTCACCAGTTCCTACAACCGGATCTAGTCCATCCACCGTCAACCACACCACCAGGAAAACCACCCAACCTGATGGTCAGACCACCTTTCTCAGAACTTTCTTTGTGGATGCACATAAAAGCACAACCTATCAGAAGCCAACTCTACCCATACATATCCCAGAAACATCAATAGCTGCTACACACAGTGACAGCCTAACAGCCTCACCTGCCCCCACAGTTCTTGGGCCCGCTCTTGTACCTCAGCCAGCGCCAGTCAAGATGGGAACTTATGAAGTTCTAAATGGAAGCAGGCTCTGTATAAAAGCACAGATGGGGATAGAGCTGATCGTTCAAGAAAATGAGTTGGTAAGTTGGGGCCATAAGACTGTGATGCTATCTTCAAAATGTCTGATTTGACTTTGTCTTGCTAAGAATGAACAATTCCCTATATCCTGTCTTTAAATGGAACAAATAACTGTGGGCTCATCTTTCTCCACAGTTCTTTTTTACAAGGTGAGTATATGCTTTAGAGGACATGTAAAAATAGACAATTCAGGCACAAAGAGAATTTCAATATGTATAACTTTTGCTTCTAGCTAGCATGGGCAATATTAGGGAAGACTGAGTGACCATCTCAGCCTGACTCTGTCCCTCTTCATGGCTGCCCAACTTCAGGTCCTTTCTGACATGAGACACTGGGATCTGATGTTATCTATGGTTCCAACCCATTGTAACATTAATCTGAAAATCTAGATTAACAAGAATAAGGGGGTTATGAGCATCTGATTTAGTAAGGAATCATCATGAAATATTAATACAATTTGGTAATTCCAAAGAAAATTTCCACAGCTAGTTTTGAGACAGAGGCCCCTTAGAGTGCAGACTACTCCCTGTATTGCCTCTTAGCATGCAGAATTGAACAAAAATTGAATTCCATGCAACTTACATGCTAGGAGTTACCGAATAAGAAGTCCCTGTCATGGGGGGAATTCCTTAGAAAGGTTTTACAGCAAGCTTAAGTATTTGGAAGTGAGAAGATGCCATCCACTCAGAGACTTTGTGTTTTCAAGTGAACATCCACTTTCTAGCCTATACTTCTGGGTCTCTGACTTAGGGTTTTTTCTTCCTGTTATTGAACTGATCTATCTTATTTGGTTCAGAGATACTTCAACATTGACCCCAACATGACTCAAGCGTCTGGGAAATGTGGCTCCCAAAAATCCAGCCTTCTCCTGAATTTCCAGGGTGGATCTGTGAATGTCACATTCATCAAGGTGAGTCATGAAGTCCTTCACACTGACATACTCTAGCATGAACTGGCCTCTTCTCCATCTAGTGCCAGTGATGTAATGTTAAACTTCCAGTTAAGACCCATAGAAATATCTCAGAGCCTCTTGAGATCTCAGATAAGCATGAGAGGCCTGGGAGGGAAAGGAAGGAAGTATTGACATCTTATTTGTTTTCTTCTCCTTCCACCTCCTCCGAATAGTTCAAGAAGGGCTTCAGTGCCTCTTAGGGAAGGCTTAGCTTTGGGGAGTCCAGTCACCAGTGCCCTAAAGGAGGAAGTTTATACAGATGAAAAGATTTATGGTAATTCTCAGTGGATATTAGATAAACAAGATTATTCTAAAACCAGAATCAAATAGTAGAATGGGTTCTTTCCAACCCCAGACGACAAAAATTCACGGGCTAGGCAGGCTCTGGGTTTTACTGAAAGGGAGTAGACAGCAAAGTGGAATGAAGACGACGTGGGTGTTGAGGTCAGAGAGTCAGCTGTAGATGTGACTTCATCATTGTCTTACCTGTTTTATTATTTGAAAAATGGGGCAAAGGATCACTTCTGTAAAAAGCATGCTCAGTACACAGAAAATGGTGAATATTCTATAGGTATCAGCTATAACTGAAGTGACTACAATTGACAGACATCAGGGCAAGGGGGAACCGAAGAGCCTGGATAAGCCCACCTTCCAGGAAAGCCTTAGCCTGCTTGTGATAGTGAAAGGACCCTTGCAGCTGGTACTAGCTGCATGAGCTCAAGCTACTTGGAGCCCATTTCTTCATGTGAAAAATGGAAGTTATGAGACTGACCTACTGTGACCCTTGGGAGGATTAGAAGTGTGCATATAAACTATTTAGCACAGTATTTATATGTATATGTAAACTATCTTGTGTCCTGGTTAGCTTTCGTCAACTTGACATGTACCTCAGAAGAGCGAATCTCAATTGAAGAATTTCCTCCATCAGATTAGCCTGTAGGTATATCTGTGGGGCATTTTCTTGATTGCTAATCCATGTAAGAGGATTCAACCCACTGTGGGTGGTGACATTTCTAGGCAGGTGGATCCAGCTGTATAAGAAAAGCAGTTGAACACATCAGGGGAGCCAGCCAGTAAACAGCATTGCTCCGTTATCTTTGCTTCCATTCCTGCCTTGACTTCTCCTGATCATAGATTGTGACCTGGAAATGTAGGATGAAATGAACCCTTTCATCCCCAGTTTGATTTTGGTCAGTGTTTTAACCACAGCAACAGAAAGCAAACTAGGACAGTTTGGTAAAGATTTTCATTGGTTCTTATTTGTGACTCTAGATTGAATAACATTTCATTCTGTAACATAGTGTTGTCATGAGCTCAGCTTTGAAGGCTAACTTTATGGACAGAGAAAGATGTTTCTGAGACCAGAACCAAAACATAAAATGGATCCTACATTTCAAAGTTATTTTTTTCCTTATAAGTAGGAAACTTCGTATAAATAATGGGTTTTACTGAGCTAGTTAAAACTGGCTGTGTAAAGATTTGGCTATTATCTTTCTTGATTTCCGGGAAGGTCAGATAACAACTTGGTTTTGGCTTTGAGACATGAAACTTCAACATGAGTGATTCCATTTTGGTTTAGTTTGTTGGAACCCAGGCCAAACCAGTGGCCTAGGAGGCATTTTATTTATTACTGCATTTTATTTAACATAGTTAATTTTTTCAATAAAGGAAGGTGGTTATTACTGTTGTTACTACCTTGGTCTCCAGGGCTTTGTTCTCCTGGTGCATACTTTTCTCCTCAGGACAGAATAAAGACCCTACCCTTGGGCAACTGATGTTCAACTATGCAAGTATTCACAAATTCTTTAAAAATCACCTTGGAGAAATGAAAGTTGCAGACTAGGGATTTATGCCTTGTTCAGGGCTCACTTATACATGGAACCTGTCCTGACTAAGGTACGAATAAGCCACAGTGGTAATCATGTGGGAAGTCTGTAGCATTTGTTTGTGACACACCATGACTGCTGCCACCAGACCTTAGGCAGAACTGCTAACATGAGTTTCTTTCAGTATTTTCCAGTCAGTCTATCTTTCCCTCTCTCTTCTTTGCTCTGTCTTCCATACCTCCTCTGAGCCTCTGTCTCCTGATGTTCTTGATCTTTTTAATGACTTTGGTGTGGACCCTTTGGCCAAACTATACCTAAATCTTCAATCCCTGCCTTTTCTGAAAATATTTTGCGTGCTCAATTTCTGCTCATTCTAGGGACAGGAACAGGAAATGAAGGTTCAGGTGGAGCTAGAAGCCCTTCTTGCCTCCACCCAGTATCTCCAAACCACTCTCCATCTGTAGCAGAAGTGTGGCCTGACTGCTTTGCTAGAGTATCAGACAAACACCTTTAATCACTCCACTCCCAGCATGAATTCCTGACTGTAGTTCCAGGACAGGAAAGAAGCAAAGATACTCTAAGAGGGTTTACATCCCCACCAGCCTTTGTATTCTTAAGGAGTTTCTGCATTTTAGAGAACTTGCTAAAGGTAAAGTACAATCTTAATTCAAGGATTATAGGAGCTAAGCAGACCAATAAAAACATTTTTTCTCTTTTAATTTTTAATATTTATTTTTATTTTATATGTATGAATGTTCTGCCTACATGTTTGTAAGTGCACCGATGTCATGCAATGCCCACAGAAGCCAGAAGAGGGCATTGAATCCCCTGGAACTGGAGTTATGGACAGTTGTTAGCTACCATATGGGTGCTGGGAATGGAACTCAGGTCCTCTGCAAGAGCATCCAGTGCCTTCAACCACTGAGCCATCTCTCCAGTCCAAATTTTTTTTTTTTTCCTTTTGAGACAGGGTCTCCCTATCTCCCTGTAACCTCAAGCTGGCCTGGAACTATGTAGGCCAGGTCAACCTTGATCTCACAGAGATCCACCTGCCTCTGCCTCCTGAGAGCTGCGATTGAAGGCATGTGCCACCACATCTGGAACTCTTTGAACTTTTAACTTATTTAAAGGAATTTTAAATTTTGATGAAGATTAAAACTAATGTTTCTCAAGAATTGAAGACAAAATAATTTTATTTTCCCCTTCAAGCTAATAAGAAAAACATTCTTACTTTTCTTTAGCTCAGCAATCATTTGTCTCCCACAGCCCCTAACAACGAGCCAGACATGTGGAAGAAAATAAAGTACACGTGGACCATAGTTCGATTTTTCAAATCATGTACAGTGATTTACAATGTTTTAGTTGAAACACTACCAATGATATTAGCATAAAAATATCTGCCTTTTTAGCATCACTTCAGACACTGGGCACAGTGGTATACACGTCTATAAACCCAAGATTGGGAAAGTGGCAGGAGAGTCTTGAGTTTGAGGGCAGCCTGGGCTATGTGGAGAGACCCTGTCAATAAATAAATAATATATAAATAATTAAAAAGTGTCACTTAACTTTGTTCAAGCAAAACTTAAATTATCCATATTATTTTCTTTGTGACTCTGGACATATTACTAGGGGTCTCAGAGTTTCTGTGAAATTCTCTGAGATAGGATAGACAGAAAAAAAAATCCAGAGGTACTCTCAACTTAGAGGGCTGGTGAACACGGAAGAGGAAAAATGGAGGGAGTTAGTCAGTTAGCAGCTAGAGGCCAAACCAACAGAGCCAGTGTCACATTCCTAAATGCATATTGAAAATTTCACTCAAATCCCTACCCCTACCACATCCTGCTTATACCCAAACCAGACCGACAGTCACCTCTTATAACTGTCTTCCTAGCTCAAGCTTCTCATGAATGTACCCTCCCCTTCTCTATACCAAATGCAGGCTTGAGATAAACACGTCTTCTCCCAATTTCATAAAAAGGCTCTTAGCTCTGCTCCAGTGGACAGTTTTCTTACTGCAATCTAACCTTGCTGCTGGAAAATTTCAAAACCCATAGTGGACATGCTCTCTCTGTCTCTCTGTCTCTCTCTCTGTCTCTCTGTCTCTGTCTCTCTCTTTGCTTAAGCTCTGCTTTGCAAACCTTTTTGTTTTGTTTTTTTAAAAAATTAGCATCTGTAACAGCTCATTAAACTCTTTACTTCCTTGGTCTCCAGAGTTTGGCTTAGCAGGGCTATCTGGGGTTGAGAGTAGGGCATGCTAATCCATATGAAGGCGCTAAAGGTGGTCTTTGACCTTGGAGTGGGCCAGCAGCTCTGGTTTCCTGTGTCATTTCTCCTCACTTCATTCTTTCAAGAGCTGAAGATTTTTCCCTGTCAGGGCCTCACTTGATTAGGGTGGCATGCTGAAAATTGGTCAGATATTTCAAAAGATAAACATACCTCTTTCCCTTTTCTCCCACAGCTTGCTTCCTGTCCAATTTATTTATTCACTTATTTTTAAAATCCTTCTGGAACTTGCTGTGTAGAGCAGGCTGGCCTCAGTCTCGCAGAGATCCTCCTGCCTCTGCCTCCAAAGTACTGGGATTAAAGGTATAAGCCACCAGGCCCTGCTGTTAATCACCTTTTTAAAATTTGTGGTTCAACACCTATGTTTTCACCAGCTGATAGAAATATAGAAGGGAAAATAGGCTGGGGATTATAGATCAGTATAATCCTTGCCTAGTGTACATGAAGTCCTAGGTTCAATTCCTACTTCTGAAAAAAAAAAATTCTAGAAAAAGAAAGTTACACAGTTTATACTTGAACATTTTTTTTGCATCATATTAGATATTAAAATCAACTTTTAGTAGTAATTTAAGTATATGGGCACATATGTTTCAGTTATATGTGAATGCTGAATCATTTTATGAAAGAGCTTGAGTACCCTTTGAGATTTTGGTATGTGGGAAAGATGTACCCCAATATATGTGGAAAGATTCAATGTTCATTACTAACTCGTTATCATTTGCTCCTTGGACTTAGCAGCTTCCAGTCCTGGTTCTTGGACACAGGGAAATTAATCACCCAGTGGAGAAGGTGCCGGTACCAGACAGTGTACTGGCTAACCCAGGTCTTCAGATCTATACTACTGACTCA